ACGTATCCGCAATTTCTCTCCTTCTCGCTCTTTCTCTCTCTCTCTCTCTCTCCCTATCCCCCTCTGCCGTCGCACTACAACAAGGGAAGCCACTACCACGTAACTTTGAGGATTTGCCTTAAAAAGCCCGAATTCATGCCGGGCGTCTTCCACCGTTAAGGTGTTGTCTAGCAGCGACTGCAGCGCCTTTCGCAGCACGGACAGTTGCTGGCCCTCGGGGTCCGGGTGGGAGACCCCAAGCCACTGGTGCGACACGAAGATCACGAACATGCCTCAGATCCGTTCTGCAAACCAAACGGCTCCTCAACACTTCTGTGGATTGGGCCCTGGCGCAAATGACCCTCCAAAAGTTCCAATAAAGCTCAACGACGAGGAAGGCAAGTCCAGGAACCGGGGAAGTGAGTCTAAACGCTTGACTGCATGTTTGCAATAAGATGGCCTAAACAGGACGACCCTAAAAAAAACTTGCCTGAAGGGTGCACTCGTTGGCGTTTTCAAAAGAAATATCTAAAGCAAACCCAGGGCCCAGTTTAGAGGCACACATCTTTGGGATAGGAAAATTAACCGCTGGGCCTTTCCCAGCAGCCCACATAGGCCACGTTGCCTGGACTCCACTTGTGTAGGAGCCCCCGCTGATGAAGTGCCTGGTACGGTTCTGGTGTGCCCACCATCTCCAGGAAGTCGGACACCTCGAGTTGCGACGGGCGCATTTGCCGTGTTTGGCTCTCGCAATTTGTGGTGGCTGTGTTGTGCTTTGTGCTATTGTGCTAGATGGCTTGTACTTTGTTTGCTTGCTTTTTGCTTGCTGTGGCTGGTTGTATAGCCAGCTTGCTGTCTTGCTGACATTTTTGCTCGTTTGCTGCTTTGTTGTTTGGTCGGTTGGTTTGTTGGAGGCTTGCCTGGTTGATTGGTTTATTGCTTGGTTTATTGCTTGGTGTGTTGCTTGGTGTGTTGCTTGGTGTATTGCTTGGTTTATTGCTTCGTTTATTGCTTGGTTTATTGCTTGGTTGCTTGCTTGCTTGCTTGCTTGCTTGCTTGGTTGCTTCCTGCCGTGCTTGCTTGTTTGCTCCTTTGTACATATGTCTTGTTAGTTTGCTTTGGTTGCTTGCTTGTTTGTATGGTTGACGTTCTGTCTGACTGTCTATTTGTTTGTGGGTTGGTTTGGTCGGGCTTGGCTTGGCGCTATTTCCTCTGGGTTGGCCTGCCTTGGCTTAGCTTGGTTAGTCGGTTTGGTGGCTGTTTGCGTGTGTGTTTGTCTGTCTGTCTGTCTGTTTGTCTGTCTCCTTGCTTGCTTGCTTGCTTGTTTGCTTGTTTGCTTGTTTGCTTTGGGATTTGTGTGTTTGAATGCCTGCGTGTTTGTTCGCGCGACCGTTCGTTCGCTTGCTTGTGTTGTGATGTTGCGTTTGGTTTTGCTTGGTGTGCTTGAGGAGCTCTTTCTTGAATGCTTCGCTGATTCTTTCCAAACCCCCCACCAGAGGGATTCATGGAGCACCTGCTTGACATTCCGGCAAAAGCCATCTGATCCTGGCCTTTACCACGTACATTGGGAACAGGCATTGGTGCACCATCTGCTCGCAAGGCTCCGATGGCTCCTGAGCGCAAAGGCCATTCACGCCACCCATGGCGTCGACCAGGACCAACTCCGGCCCTGTGGATTCCGCCTTTGAGTGCAGTGCAACAACCGGTGGGCTGGGGGGGAGGGGGGGGGAGGGCTGCAAATTGTTCAGGGGTATTGTGCAGCTAGCTTGTGACATTTGTTGGCAGGCACAGGAAATGAGGCTGAATGCATGTTGGATTGCTATAAGCTGGCATGCCACATGCACCATTTCTTGTCGTAACACATACGGCAGAACTATGAAGCGACATAGCAGCAGGAGGTTCGTACGAACGCAGCGGGGCTTCACACGCATTAAGCTGCCATGGCCCTGACTCACCCACGCAACTGAATGACTAGCTGCGGAAAGGCCTAGTTTTGATTTCTGTGGCCATGTTCTGGTTGCCAGAGAAGCCGAGATCTTCAGACCCAAAGGCTACCAGGGCCTGCCGAAGCCTACCTAAGTCCCACAGTACCGCCCTTCAGGGGCTTCGAGCTCGCATTTCGCGAGCCACGCCAAGGCATTCAATGCCGAGCGCGGCAACTTGGGCGGCAGCTCGCGGACCTGTTCAGCGTGAAACCAGCGGCGCTGTACCCGAGGAACGCTAACGTCCTGTGCCCACCTTGCGCAGAGATTCCCCGAACAAGAATGTAGAGAACCAGCGACAGAAAGCCAAAACCCTGACGCGCTCCTCTTGCACATGTGCTGGTTGGAGCCGGTCAGCCATTCAGCATGCCTTTGGCAAGGCCGCATGGCTGTGCTTTTAATTGTTGCTGAAAACATCTGCCGGGCAAGGCCACGGCAGTGGAACACCGGGTGTGCTGCGCCGAACCTTGCATCACACGCCATGGAGAGGAAAGGCCCCAATTGCCAGACCGTGTTTCTGGCGGATGCTTAGGAAACTAGGGAGGTGCTCAGTCAGCTGCACGCACTCTTCCCTCAAGATTCCTCAAAGAACCATGGCGCGTGAATGCCAGCAAACTACTTTCGACTGACATGGTCAACCACTCTTGCAAAAGCAACGGCTCAAGGCCGTGAGGTCGTGCCTGCTTTTGAAGGCATCCACTTTGCGAAAACTGAAAAGCAAAAACTCTGAGCGCCCAGATTCGATATGTTCAAGTAAGAATGGGAAAGTAACCTCAGCACATCGGAGCCATCAAACCCTAAAGGTCTGCAGCATCGGCAGCAGATCCAAGTGCCCACTCATCCTGGCCAGGTCCTCCAGTGGGCTCGTGGCCAACTTGGAACATAGGACCACCAAAAAAGTTGACCTGCTGGCACATTGTCAGACTACACATGGGCCAAACAGAAACAAAAACAGCAGTGAACTCTAGTTTAAACACTTTGCGCAAAGCTTGGTATCCCTGGGAGTTTGATTGAAAAGGGAAGCCAGCAGGAAACCACCCACTTTGTGAGTTCCCGTCTTAACATTCATTTAATCTTAAGAGAACCTGGACCTGCTTGTCTCAGCTTCTGCCCAAACTTCTCACCCAAATGATCTGCAAGTTCAAGGTCAATTAACCCATTGGAGCCCAGACCCGACATGTGCCAAGAGCGCAAACAAATGGATCGGACCTGCAAAGCATTGGAACAACTCGAAACTGAGGGCAGACTGCGTGCAAACAGGACAAACCGAAAAGGGCGAGGGTCGATTCACTTTCGGCAACTGAGCTCTCGTTGCAATATTGCTTTCCCCCTTAACAAGGGGAACTCTTGGCGAACCCAAATCCTTGGATTTATCTATTTTCTTTGTTCATCATTTTAGCCAACGGCAAAAATGCGATGGTCCCAAGAGTTGGCCCAGAACCCGATTGACGAGCACACATGTCAACCCACGCACCCTGTCCTCCGGTGAATCCCCGCGCTGATTGCTCAAGGGATCCTCTCCCAGCACGCGCGGGGCGGGATGGGAATTTAGGCAACCCCTCGCCAAACAAAAACAACACACCACCCAAGCTTGGACAACCTCACCGATAAAAATGCAACACCACACGCCACTTGGTGGTTTGAGGTGCGGAGATGTGTTGTTGTGTCTTCTAATTTGGTTTCAGTAACAGGCTCTACTTACAGTTATTCTCACACAAATTTATGCCTAAGAGAAGAATCCACGAGACACAAAAAGAAATATGCCCACCCCCCGGTTTGCTGCCTGAGTCAAAACAAATCTGGGGGAAGCGTGCCACGAATCTGCGCCAAGTTTCTAAATCGAATTTTCTAAATCGGGGCCAGTGTCCGAATCGGACAATGTTCGAAGCGCGGCGAACCTACAGCACCCCAAAAAAACTCAAGCTAACCAGAGCAGCCGCGTGCGGGAGAAAGCCAAAGTTGGTTTCCCCCGCCGCACCTACTATTCAGAGTGGATGCTGGAGACTTAAGATGGTCTTCCCAACGAGCTTGCTGCGAGCGTGAGACAAAAATGCATCACGACCCAGGCCGGGGAACTGCTGAGAGATCGGGAGCCTGGTGGGCATGACTGCACCTTGTGGATTTTTGCCTCACAAGCTGACATGGAAGTTTGCAATGAGGTGACCGCCCACTCAGCAAATCCAAACACCGTTGATTGCATGTCAATGCGACATGCAACTGGCCATTCCATAAACAAGCGACCACAACATCGTTTATCTCCAAATAAATGTGCGTGTGTGGTACACGGTACGTGCAATTTAGGTGATGTACCGCGCGCGCCCTCAGCAACGTTGCAAGCCCAATGCCGTCATCCCAAACATGTTTTCATCTGGAGCCATCTGCTTCGTCGGAAATATTTGCCATGGTTCACGACTGTTGAAATTGAGGACAGCCTCCAACCAGTGAATTGACTTAGCTATCCTTTCAAAACGTCATTTAAGCAAAAACATCAACTCCTTGTAGTCGCAATTGTCCCAACCCCTCATTTAGCCCAGGGGCATAACTCTGGTCCTGAACTCGGTCCTGTGCCTTCACGAGGCACGATTGTTTTATCGCGCCTTTCTGGTTTGGTGACAAGAGAAAGGGCTGGTTACATCTGGTTACTGACCCGGAAAGTCCAAGATAGGAATGCCTGGGATTGGCCAAAAGTGATGTTGTTTCGAGCAGAACGGCAGAACGCGAGGAAAACCCAGCCAGTTGCCAAGGAATCAGCCTCTAATCTGGCCATTGCACTACCCCTCACTTCCTGAAAAACAGGTCCAACATCAAGTAAGTAAATCATTGAACTTCTTGCTCCCACTGAAGCATCGTCTCAAACGCATGGGGTCCAGACACCGGGTCTGTCTCAAAATAGGACCCCCCCGAAGCCGGTTGAAAAAGGGCACACCCCCAAAAGCACCCATGTCCACCTCCCTTTTCCAAGTCTAGATAAACCAGGGCTCCCTGCATTTCCCTTTAAAACATCACCTTTCAGGGATGCTCACGTTTGGGCAAAAAAGGTGATGTTGAAAAAACCACCAAAAAGGGAAATATAGGGAGCCCTTCTGCTTGAAACAACATCACTTTTGGCCAATGAAAAGGCACCCTTCCAGGGCACCCCCCAAAAGCACCCAAGTCTAGATGAATGGTTCCTTCCCTCGACATGTCCGCATGGGTCGCTCGTCGCTCCGCGTCTGCTTCCAGTAGCAGCTCCACTAGCTCGGAGTGACCGGTGAGCGCGGCACAGCCCAGCGGAGTGATGCCAGGGTAGGATGCCTCGGGCAGAAGAGAAGCGCTCAGATGTGACTTGGCGAAACCGGCCGCAACGGTGCTCTTTGAAACCACGAAAAATACGTCTGTGTACTTCCACTTTTATGTGCAGGCCTGCACCGCTGCACCGATGCACTGGCCACAGTGATGGATCAGGCGGGGAGGAGTTCAAACCCTTGGCTCTTCGTCAAAGAAATGCTCAGTGTGTCAAGAGGGTTCTTGATCATTTCCCATGGCCAAGCATGTGCGAACTTCTCACTTGCCCATGAAATGAAAGGGTAGCCTCTCAGGCTAAACATGAAACGAAGCGGCAAAAAGAGGTCAACAGTTCGTCTTTGCCTATCTTACTTTCAACTACACGGAATGCTGCACATCTTTGAGGGATGAGCTCAGGCAAGGTCTCAATTCCATCGAGAAGCTGTCAGCGACCTTTCGATGACTGCGAGTGGCGATAAGATCTCGTCCTATTTGGGTGACCCGAACTGGGCTCTAACAAAGGAGGGGTACTAGGATGTTATGCGCTTGATTGTCCTTTTTTGCGAGCTGGACTCGATGATCAGAGCTCGCTTGCGGCCGTATCTGAATGCAACCGCGGTCAGGGTGTTGAGATGTATGGAGTTTCCGGCCCTCGTCGAGCGATGGGGGTTCCAGGGAGTGGCATAGCTTGACCACTGCCTTTCAAATTTCAACCATGGCGCTGCTCCAATTGAATCTTCCGGAAAAACTCCTCAAGGTTTTGTTTGTTCGTAGCTCCTCGTGTATGCTTTCAGCATCAGTCCAACCTCACAGAAAGCAGAACAACAACAGTTGAACTAACTTCAGATCGCGAGCTCTTTGCCAAAGGCCCCTCCAAGGAAAGGTTGTCAAGGAACCTTAGGGGGTTCGCAGGGTTCTGAGAAACTTTCTGGTGGGCAACGGGCCTAGGCCCGAAGAAAGCAAATAGCCGAAAGGCAGGAGAGTAACCTAGTTCCTCCAGTAGAGAGGTTAGAATAAGGGTACCAGCTTTTTTCAGTAGTCTATTTTAGTAGGAGAACCCTCCCCCAAAAAAAGGGGTAAAAGGGCACTACGGGGGACCTTAACTTTAAGATCGTCTGGAGAAAGGTGACGAGCAAAAGCCAGCACCGAAGACTCAGCATGCGGCAACCAGCGACCCAAAGTCCAAATCCGAAAGTAGATTCCCCTTCTTTTCCCGCTGCCCCTGCGTTTGGCTTTTGCCCCCCAAAAATAATATGTTCAGATCCTGGCCAATACTTGGTGAACACAAAAAACAAAATTGAAAGAAATCTCAAAACACATCCCGCTCCCAAACTGCCCGAAGCAGGTGCCGCGGCCAGGTTGCAAGCAAGCGAATGATGTTCGAGCAGTTCTCCATGCCCCACAGAGAGGTGAGCCTGGGAGAGAGCCCAAAACCCAAGCCTTGGAAATTCCGAACCTCCCAAATTCTGAGGTACGAAGCGTTCAGATCGAACCTTGGCCAGGACCGCCCTGTTCTCCTTTGTTGCTCGTTGCAACCTGGCCCGGTGCCCCAACACTGGGGCAAAGGCCAAGCGCAAGCCCGGCCTCCTTTGCGAAGGAACAATTGGACGGGAACTGGGGGGATGGAAGCATCAACCGTCTGGCAAATCACCCTGGTTCTGTTGATCAGCCAAAGGTGCAACAGGGTTGCACGCATGTCGTGTTCCGCTCTCCTTGTACGGCATGCATGTTTCATTGATGCTCCTCCACCGCACGGAGGTTCACACAGGGGTCCTAAAAAGAAACTGACCTCTACCGTACCTTCCCCATTCTTTCACTGCTGCTCACCAAATTGGCAAATGCCCCGACAAAATGCGTTGTTTCGAAGGATGGGTGAAGAGAATCGGGAATAACCCTTGCCGCCAGCGCAAGACAGCCACTCCATGCTGAAAGGGAATGAACCTTCATATTAGTCTGGGCAAATAACCATTCACGGACCGCAATAATCAATTGGATCCCTTCTTCTTCTTTTTTGGAAAAAAAAACATGTTCCCCAACAAGCTGGCAAAAATGCCATGTGTGTTGCGCGGATCAACGGCCAGCCCATTTGCCACTATGCCAAGCTTGTTCCAGATACGGTGGCAAACGGACCCCGGGCAGCGGCGCTGGAGCCAACCCACTCGGACTTCACGGAAAAGAGGAGTTTTCGCTAGCAATATACAGGCCTGCATGATAGAACGCGTCGCAGGCTGAACATAAGACCTTTAGGGGGACATACAGTTTGGCCAATGAGCTAGTCTAAAAAGGATCCTGCCGCTTGTCAGTGTGCCCAAGTTCACTTGCAACCAAAGGACCTGAAACGGACCTGAACAAAAGGGTAGCCCTTTTGGGACCGCTGAAAGTCGAACAAACTTGGAAGGCCCACAGGCCTGTCAAGGTCCATTCAGGGTGATAAGATGAACCGCAAAGGGAGTGTAAATGAGGAGCGGCGGTGGTGCTACATTGTATCCATAAACTTGTGTATTCGCTTTTGAGCGTGATGTGTACCTCAAAGTAGAGGTGGTTGCCAATGGCGAGACTTGCACCTTGCCTACATAAGTCAGCCTTCCGGCCAACATACATGTCTATTTATCATACATATACATATATATATATATTTATATTTACACACATACATATATATATATATGTGTGTGTGTGTGTATGTCTACATATATGCACATATATATATATATATATAGTTTGTGTATATATGTACACATGTACACACTCATATGTGGTCCCGTGTTCCGTGTTGCTACCCCTACCCCCCCCCCCCCCCCAAGATGGTATGGGTCCCCCAGGACCCCCCCCCCCCGGCCCGAGACCCCGAGCCCCCGGATCCTGGCACCTACGGTCCCCCACCCCCACCCCAACCCCCTGAACTCGCACCCCGACACCCCGGCACCCCCACCCCCAGGACAAGCCAACCCGCAACCAACCATAAACCAACCCTAAACTAACCCTAAACCAACCCTCAATTCACCCTAAACCAAACCCTAAACCGTAGACCTCTAAACCTAAACCAACCCTAAATCAACATAAGCCAACCCTAAACTAACCCTAAACCAACCCTAAACTAACCCCAAATACACCCTAAACCAATCCCCAAGACAATAAACCCTAAACCTAAACCAACCCTAAACCAACCCGAAACTAACCCTAAACCAACCCTAAATACACCCTAAACCAAACCCTAAACCGTACACCTCTAAACCTAAACCAACCCTAAACCCTAAATCAACATAAACCAACCCTAAACCAACCCTAAACTGACCCCAAATACACCCTAAATATACCCTAAACCAATTCTAAACCAACCCTAAACTACCACAACCCAACCAGGACCACAACCACGGGGGGGGGGGGACTTGTCTGACCCATGGCCATTGGGGGCGGGGGGGGAGGGGGGGGACTGGCAACGCTGTACCATACATAGGTATTAGTATGTGCGTATGTGTGTGTGTGTCATCACCTTTGTGGCCTTAGCGGTTCCTCAGTCAATATGACAAGCGGTCCCTCCAAAGGAACCACGCATCGAACCAACTGTCAGCTGAGGCACCCCTGGGCCAGCATAGCGGTAAGGTACAGCCTCCCAGTAGCAATCGTGGGCAAATTCGCCTGAGCCGAATTCCGATCGCTGAAGGTTCAGAAGGCGCTGGATCCTGCAACAGCAGGGGAACCAATTGCACTTGCCCTCGTAAAATGTCCTCTTTGATTAAATTTAAAATGCCCCTGGCCCCACCAATGTTGAAAAAAAAGATGTCAGAACCCACAGGCCAGCTGGGCAGCTATCTAGCTCATTGATGACCTCCATGCACCAACAAAAACCGCCTGCCGCATGTCAGCCATTCTGGTCTGAAGGCCAGGGTTTTCACCTCTTCATTTTTTCGACCCAGTTACTAAAGAAGAAAGAAACGCAGCAAGTAGAGGATAAAGGCATAAAACAGGCTAGCTGAGCCAGTGATTCAAATTCTCCTTCTGCAAGTTCGACGCAGGTGAGGTGACTCCGGGTTTCCCGAGCAAAACACTTGTTGCACCCTTTTCCGCGGTACCAAAGCCCACGGTCCCCACCACCACCTTCTCATTTCAAAGGAGTTCTCTTGGTATATCACTGAAATTGGTCCTACCAATGCGTCAACGGGGGGGGGGGGGGGGGTTGCCGTACTTGCAAGAGACACAATCGCACACGTGTGCAAATCGTACGCAACTACCAACGTTTTTTGTGGAACACCTGCTTTGCGCTTCTTCGACTTCACCCTTGCGTGCGCAGGCAAGGGGGGGGGGCGTGCTGCTCGCATGCGCAACACCGGCTAATATCGCACTACAGAGGTCGAGACACATACTACAGCCCTTAAGCCTTCAGCTGCCGTCGTGCAAGTTTGCGGCGCCTGCAAACCGCAGTTGTTCTCGCGCGCAACACATCTGTGGTTTACCAGCATTTTTGCAGCAAACTAGCCCTGCGTTGCCAATTGCGCCGCAGGAGTGGCGTGAGTGAAGCTAGATGGGGGCGCGTGTTTCAAGCCGGCCCCACACACGTGTGGCCACGGTGCATCTGCGCGATTGGCCAAGAGAAGCCTCGCAATATCCGCCGCCTCGGGGTTGCCGCGCCCCAGCAAAGCCAGCGAGTGCAAGGGGCTTTCACGGCCATCCCGGCCGGCTGCCGTGTGAATGTTGGGGTCAGACCTGGAGCTGGGAGCAGACATCCCACGAGCCCATCCACACACGAGTTCCCATCCGCTCACAAAGGGGAAACTGAGAAGAGCCTCTTGAGCTCCGGCCCACTTCTCATAGATGGGAGAAAATCAACTAAACCCGGGCCAGTTTGAAGGAAATGGAAGGAACAAAACGAGTATCAACGTATCAAAGGGTTGGCCCAACGGACGCGCTGCTCTCCCTCATCCCCCACTGGTTGAGAAGCCCCAAGCATGAGCTAGATGGTAGGGACGCCGGCTCAAAAGTATGTTCAACCATAGCTGCTGAAATCTTTGCTCACTTAGGCTGTCTTTTCAATGGGTTCACGACATGGCTGCTTGTGGACAGGCACATGCAAAGTCGACAATTTGAACAACACTCGAGTTAACAACTGAGTTGGCTAAATGTTCAAAGATGAGTAACATGTCACGATAACTCCAGCGCCATGTGCCCTTTCAACTGACCTTCGCCATAGAATGGCTCGCTCCCTGATCATTGAACACTCTGCTAAAGGACCTAGCAACGAGAGGCTAACTTTGGTGGGATCATGACTCCGCATGTCTCTCTCCCTCTCTCCCTCTGTTTTAGAGGACCCTTTCTTCGTTTGCTCTCACGGGGAAACTAGGGAACCGAAGCTTCGAATTTTAGGCTGCAACCACAACGTACTGAATATACACTTCAACTGCCAAGCTGGCGAAACGTTGCCCCCATGAAGCTTCCAAAACCTGAATTACTGAAACATCCGGACGGATCCTATCGGATCCTTGGGGGACTCGCTCTCACCCCCACCTCCCATTCGGCGGAGTCACGCCAATAATTACACAGGCAGGGAGAACCCTCCCTAACCAATGACCATATTGTGAGGTTGGTTGCCCATTAGACAATGTTCGCCATAGCCATTCCCCAATGTTCGCCGGCAAATGGTGCCACGTCTCGCAGGGAATTCGTCGAACTGACTCCTCTAAATGGGCGAGTTCTGTATGCTTCTTTCCCTTCAGTGCATCACTCACCCGTGAAAAGCACGAAATCCCGCCCGCCAGGGTTGGGCAAAAATGCCGGAAACTTCGCCATCCCCCTGAGGGCAAACAAAAACAGAGGTTGCTTAATTATGACTCATTTCCTGAGTGGATGGCCCAAAAAAGTCTAAACTTTCTGTTTGCCACTAAAATAGTCTCCCCAAAAGTGTTTAAAGTTCAGGGTTAAAGTTAAAGTGTTTAAATGAACTCAGGAAGTGAGATAAAGCATGGTAAACCCAGGGTTAAATCGCCCTACCCTGGAGGCTCCTGCTCCCCGCCTGCACTGCAGCATGGCCCTCACCGTGGCCACCCCCGCGTGGGCCGCCGCGCCGCAGATGGCGTTGGTGCCGCTCAGCTCGGCCTTTGCCTCCGCCAGCGCGTGCACGTGCTCCGGGAGCCGCGCCAGCATGCCCTGAAGCAGGCCATCTTAAGGCCCCTGGGAAATCTAGAAATATGCCCAGTGATAGATTCCCTTTGAAACCAGTTGTTTTTTGCATATTCTTGAGCAAGTGGAAGAAAAGCAGCCCGCGCTGATCGCTGCATACTTTCATGGAACCAAAAGGGGCCGGAAGGCGCCAGGTGTCACAGCTTTGGGGTCCTGGTCTCAGGCGGAAATCTGCGATGGAGGGCCGGAAGTCGGCAAAAAACGTTGGGCTAAGGGCTCCTTGCCGGGAGCTCCATGGGGAAGTGCCCTTGTGCGTACACCTGTACATGCGTATTGGTCATGAAGATGTGGTAAATTCCAGTGTGCCTAAATGTGAGTCGGAATTGATTCGTTTGGTGCGATGTGCCCGATTGACCAGCTGCGTGTTCCCGCATGGAGGCCAGGCGTTTGAGGCACCCGGACGCCTTCTCAGAAACGGTCTCCAAGCCCCACAGCCGCAATCCCGCCTTGAAAAGTAATTCAAACAAATGTTCGCGGGGTTCAAGCTGCTTTGCCCCGGACCCCAGCCCAACATCTTGAAGAACAAGGCTGGGAGATCCTGCCCTATGATCGCACATGCAGCAGACTTGCACCCGAACGAATGGCTAGCCCCCGCCCCCCCCCTCCACCTCCCTTGCAGCTACCTGCGCAAGCAGCTTCACAAGGGGTTAAACTCAGCATGTGACACGCAAATGATCTCCTTTGCATCTACCAAGGGTAAACGTTTGGAAAAGGAAGCGATCTTGCGGCCCCCTTTCATGTTTTCCTTCGGAGGTGAGGTCGCCCTGTTAATGCCCCAAGGCATTTGCAATTCGGCTTACTCAGTTGTCCAAACGACCTCAGAAATAAAAGGCGATCACCTTCGAAACAGGTTGCCAAGACCGGGAAACCAAAAGGTTCCCCTCGCCCAGCGGCGCAGGTGTAACCCACACGGCTCTCCGCGTGCACGTCGGCACGGAGCTCAATGAGTGTTGACACCACTGAAGACTCCTGCAGCCAAAGGGGGGCTTCCCATCCCAAGAGTAGGCCTGGTACGTTTTGCATGGTCCTGGTACGTTTTGAGCGCCGTCATAATCGGCGTCTGGCTGTCGAAGTAGCCGAAGTCGCCCAACCCCCGCAACCGGCAGTTCACATCGGCCTTGTGCTCGACCAGCAGCCGTATCATGGGGATGTTGCCTATGCAGACTGCACACAGCAGGCCGTTCATGCCACCTTCGTCCTGCAAGCAACCACTTTCACGGCCAGGGATGCCGCCGAAGGGGCAGGTCATTCCAGTTTCCGCCGAGACAAATGGCGGAGGGTTCCGTTCAACAACTTAGGGTCGGAGAAACCTGACAGGTTAACCATACACGCCTCGAATCCAAGCACAAAAGCCAAAGTTCGTCCTGCACTGCCGCCTGGAGGTTTGGAAATGCAAAGTGCTCCAAGAACCCGCGCAAGTCGAGCTGCTGCGGCGTCTGGCGGGGCGATCGGATAATGCACTTCCAACTTATAAGCCAAAGAATGTGATGAATTGCTGGACCGTCCGTTTGGTTTGCATTTAAAAAAGAAAAGGTTGGGCTCCTCGAAAAGAGTCACACACTGATTTCCTTTTTAAAGGATACCCTCCTCTTGCCTTCAATTTTGGCAATAGGAACCGAAGGAATCGACTATCACTGTTGGGGAGGTGTAGCCATACCTTTTGCAAGAAAGTAGCCTATAAACCGGACCACCCTCATACCACCTCAAGGAAAACTACCCTAAACCTGCCCAAAAGTGATGTTCTATATCAGCACTAAAGTGGAACATAGGGCACCAGGGACACCAGAGATACCTGGGACAGCACCCCAGCAAGCAGTTGGAAAAACCTGCGCCCAGGAAGTGGCCACCTGCACTCCGAAATGAGAAGGCGTAGGGATGGAAGCTCTCGCACCATGGCTGGGTTCAGAGCTGCAAAGTTTCGAATCCTAGGCAACCTTGCAGCTTTCGAAACAGGTCCAGGGCAAAGGAACGCAGAGCGCAAAAGGGGGGGATAGACTTGAAAAGGCAAAGGGCAACTCGGTGACCTGCTCCTAACATTTACGTCGCCAGAATTCCCCGGAGATCTTTGTGTCACATGGCACAAACCAAAGGCGGTTGACAGCTGCAAAATGAGTCGACAGTTCCTGGCTTCAGCATGGTCCCCCCCCCCCCCAAACAGTTGCGCTCTGATCTTATTTGGGCCCAGCGCAGCTTATGCCAGTGCGCGAATAACAAATGCCTCTGTGGGCTCCCTGATTTCTCGGCCAAGAGAAATGCTGCACCCAAAAGCAAGAGCCATCACGGACTGAAGCAACCAGCCCCCGGCCCCCACCTCTTGCAGCATCTTGGCTCGACGGGCCAGGTAAAAACCTCAGAAAGTACCCACAGGTTCGGCATGCAAGTCCAGAGTCCTAGCGGGACTTTTCCAGCCCCCCCCCCAAAGTATCCCAAAAAAGTAAGCCCTCAGGAGAATCCCAACCAGTGGCCAATAGTCGCCAGAACTTCTGCTCTTCCCTTTGGGCGTGGACCCCCCCACCCAGCTTGATCTGCAGTGCTTGCGCATCGTCAACGCATTGTTTCCGCTAGCTGTCGACAGCTACAGGTAGCCTCTCCTTGGTTTCCCCTAGCTTCCCCTCTCCTAACTGGGCCGGTGACCTCGATCCGCAAGCCGTCCAAGCATCCTATAGTTGAAGGTGACTAGGGAATCTCTTCTTCCCACAGGCGTCCAAGCCGAAAACTTGCTAGGTGCCGAAAACTCGCTTGGGAATCCATTTGCGCCACCCCTTACTTATTTAGAATTTAGTTCCCAAGTTGGCCATTTGCTTCCCGTCCAGACCACTGATTGCTCAGGACTCCAAAATCATGTGCGTGCCACCTTTCGAGCTTACGTTTTTGGGCATGTGCCGAGCAGAAACATCTGAAACCACCCATGGGATCCCCATTCCGAGACAACCCCACTTTCTTGCATTTGGACAAAGTGCCAAGATTGCGCTTGAATAGAGACATTCCTTCTGCCATCCATTTAGGAGATTATGTAGCTGTTATCATTTAGGCGTTTGAACTGGAGCTCTTGGCAATTGGGTGAGTGGCCAGCTATCCTAGCGTCATCCAGACAAAGAACATCAGCCGGTCTCATATCGCCAAGGGGCGGTAGTGGCTTAACGGCCCCGCCGCCTGCAAGAACATGATAGTTGCTTGGGTCATGACTGAACATGGACCAAGCAATCCAAACCGATTGGAGGATTTTTAGACGAACCGTGTTGGTCAACTCATATCTGAGATTATGGGCAGGCTGATGCATTTGTTGCTGCAACTGAGCTTAGGCTTCGGCAGGGGGCCCAAGTCGGCTGACAACGGCACAGCGCATGCCTTACCATCACAAGGGGTCCGGAAAACGGAGGCAAAGGAACCTTTGCTGGACATTTGATTTCAAAGGTGACGCATGGGATCAGTTGGTGAAGGGAAACAGGGTGGCACTGAATGCCTAAGCAGTGGACACTCTTTTTTACATCTATAGTTCTTTGGGCCGCCGCGGGAAAGCAGCCCGCCAGTCCAACCCAAAAATAGCCACTACCGGTGTTCTTGTGCGCTTTGCAATTTTTTGACCAGGTCCTTTTGGCACGGCTCCAGGACTGGTTCTTTGTCAACAAGGGGTATGTACCTCGACTTTCTTCCACTCCCCCCCTCCGTCCACTTCCACGAGTGTTGGAAAAAAACACACAAAACCACACATCAGCAAAAACTGGAGTCAACACCAACACAAAGGGTCAAACTAGCACAAAGGGTCAAAATCAACAAAAAAGGGAGCAACACCCACAACCACCAAGCAAAAAGGTCTCGGAAAAAGGCCCCACTTCCCCAGCAAATGGCGCCTGCAGGTGCCGGAGCTTTCCAGCGAGCGCCATCTCCCCAAGCTTTGTCACGCATTCCCGGTCCGCTTCCACCGTGAACTTCCCCTCCGCGATGGAAGCCCGCTGCCACTCCAAAGGGAACATGAACTCCGCGTTCTGGCGAAATGCGGGTTGGTGTGTGTTGAGGTGCGGTGTTCCGCCGAAGCTTCAAGCGAAGCCAACAGAATCGCGGGGAAATCAACTTGGTCTCTGCCAGATGCAACCATGTGTCAAAATGACGGGACCCCAAAAATGGTGGCTCTCATTTTGGTGTCCCTTTCCATGAACCTGCAAAGGGTGTAAAACACACGCACGTAATTACAGACACGCGCACACACAAACAGACACAGACACAGACACAGACACAAACACAAACACAGACACACACACACAAACACACACCCACCCACCCACCCACCCACCCACCCACCCACCCACCCACCCACCCACCCACCCACCCACCCACCCACCCACCCACCCACCCCACCCACCCACCCACTCGCGCGCGCACGCACGCACGCACACGCACACGCACCCCACCACACACACACACACACCCACCACACACCCACCCACGCACACGCGCACGCGCACACAGCACACGGCGCACCCGCACACCCGCCCCCGCCCACGCACCGCACGCCCGCACGCCGCACGCACGCACGCACGCACGCACGCACGCACGCACGCACGCACGCACGCACGCACGCACGCACGCACGCACCCACCCACACACACACACACACACACGCGCACACACACACACACATGAGGTCCATTCAACCACTCTTAGCTGAAAGGGTTGTATTGAAGCTGGGGAAAACCTGGGGTTTAGCCGAATTTTAGTGTGTCCTTCCCCCATGTCCCCTCCCAAATGGACCATGGCCACTACTGGATGTGTTGACTTCAACCGCATCTTCGTCTCTTTTACAATCTGTAGGCTCAAAATACTGACTCAACCGAGCGTGGCGCAGCAGCCCGTGCAAATGCAATGGAGCTGCCCCCTCTCTCTGCTCACCTTGCCCCTTTTCAGCTTCGAAGAACGATTCGCAGCACCATTCCAAAAACTGGTCCTTAGATACAGCCGCTCGGCCCAATAAGTTGGGTCACTCCCGAACGCACGCTTAGCACCTCTCAGCGGTATGCCCGCCCTGCCTTCGACGAGAACACGAGAATGACGCTGGTGTCCTTTCTGTTGGACAAGAGCCGGCACCATAACTCGGCCCGACACCACCCTCTCGACAGCCAGGACCCGTAATTGCAGTTCTGCAACGTGTCCTGATGAGTAAGACCTCGCATGGCCAGAGGTTTGCGCTTTTCAGACGTTTCGTTTATTTCCCCGCCATGCGCGCCCACTTTTTGTTGTTTTTTTTTCTGTTTTTGTTTCCTTGCCTTCTGTCGGATCAGAAAGCTAGCTTTCGCTGCGTTACGCTTCTTGATTTGGCTCCTTCCAGCTTTTTAGGGGCAAGATGGGGCAGCTTCACTTTCTTTAGAGCGCTTTCGGGGCGATCTCGGGGACGCGCAAATTGGGACGGTTTGCGTGACAAGCGCCGCACTTTCGCAAGGTCATGTACGGAATGCGTGGCAGGCGCGGATCTTTAATAGCAAGGCAAGGCGCAGATGCCGTGGTGGGCGGAGCACTTTGCACTTCCGCAAGGTCAAGACAGACAGATTAGATAGATAGAAAACTAGACAGCTAGATAGACGAGATAAGTAGCTAGATGAGATAGATGTCAGCCGCCTCCATCGCAGCTACCAGTTTTTTCGACATGTATCCTGGGCCCTGGCTTTCAATAGCCTTGGCCTTCAGGGAATCAGGGCGCAGGGCGGAACGGAGGAATGGTGGGGACACCTCAAGCTTGCAGTTGTGCTTGAGGACTCGCAGCTGTCTCGTCTGTGCGCCTTGCGCCTGTATGGGCAGTTGGGGCTTCATGACTGTTTGTGTGGGGTGGTCAGCCCAGGGCCTTGAACTCCAGCCGTCACCGGAAGGTGGCTCATGCTGTGTCGGAGGCTGCCCTGCGATGGCGGGAGGGTTTCCCTTCGCCGCAGAGCCCTCCAGGTCATTCCATCCAGATAGAACAGGTAGATAGGAAGATAGATAGATACATAGATAAGTTGGTAGATAGGTAGGTAGATGTTAGATGTTAGATAAATAGTTAGTTAGATAGCAAGGCAAACTAACAGAACAGACATATAGAAACATACACAGACAGACAGACACACAGACAGACAGGCAGGCAGGCAGGCAGGCAGGCAGGCAGACAGACAGTGAGACAGACATACAGGATAGGATAGGATAGGATAGGATAGGATTGGATAGGATAGTAGGATAGGATAGGATAGTATACGACAGGATAAGATATGATGCTATAAGGGCTGCAGATAGAAATGTAAGACAAGATAAGTTCTGATAAGATAAGACAAAACAGGATTAGATACATCAAAGTACAGATTAAACGATGAACAGATCGACAGGTAGATAGATGAATAGATGGATAGTGGATGGAAGGATGGATGGATAGATAGATAGGATTACAGTAAATTAGATTAGATTAGATTAAATTCATAGATAGGTAGATGGTTAGACAGATCGATAGATAGATGATAGGTACATAGGTAGATAGATAGATGAATGAATCGATAGACATATAGATGGACAGACAGGCAGATACACAAATGGGTTGTTATGTATATAATTACAAAGAAACACAGAGACTGATTAAGAAGCTAACGGAACACATGAGATACACATATATACATATATATATACACATTTAAACGAACATAAAAAAACAAAAAAACACAACTCAGATAACGAGAAACACCAAGAGAAAGAAAGAGACCGAGAACGAGAAAGCGGATGAGAAACATAAAGATGCAGATAAAAAGAAAGAGACAGAGAGACAGAGAGAGAGAGAGAGAGAACAAAACAAGAGAAGAAGAAACAAAAACGAAAGAGAACTACCATGCTCCCGGCGGCTGCGGCGCTTTATCTATAGGCAATATGTTGACTAAACAAATGTTGTTTGTTTGCGTATGCTTTCGCATTTTCTGTTTCATTTTGTGTCACCTGAACAAAATGATGTGTCGTAACTCTGACCGATAACGCTGCACCAAGGAAATGCAGTGCAGAGACAGCAAAACTTACCAAACCTGTCCCAGTGACTAGGCACCAACGCCACGAAAAGATCCGACGCTTCGACGTAGGCAGGGATGCTTTGCACTGCCTCACTTGCAACAAAAGGACCTGGAAATACAAAGTGGTCATTGTTGGGGGTGGCGAGGCTGAAAACGACTGCCAACGCCACAAAGAAGCAAAGAGGTCAAAAGAAAAAGGGAAACCAGAAGGTCAATCAAAGTGAAGATAGCTACACAAAAGTGGAATCAAAAGATTAAGAGCTGCCTTTGCCGCATCTGACTGCGTGCTTGTCTCGTTCACGCCCGCCACGCGGGCAGTAAGCTGCGGAATGGCAAACCAGTCCTCCGGGCGAGCCCTTCGTTTGGCGTGGCGGCCCGGCTTTGTTGCCCTGTTTGGGTCAAGTTTGGGTCTTCTTGGGTGTGGGTTCATGATGCAGCCGGAGCCAGCGTGGTCACTTTCATGGGATCCGTGCAAATCCTCTCAGGTAGCCGAAACATTTCAAGCCCTGGAACGCAAGGGCAACCTGTTGGAAACATGCTCGCCGCTCCGCTCGAGGGGAATCAACAGCTTGGACTGTTGGGGCCCTCTAAGGCCCTAATTACGAGCAAGCATCACATGGCAAACCAAAACATAGGAATCCGATTGATTCGCGTGCAAGTGGGCATTTGCCTCGGAGAAGTGCTTGGTCAAGTGGAGGCGTGGTCAGGCATTTGCTGCAGGTTTCATCTTTAGGAAAGAAGACGAGAAAGCAGTTGACTTGCCATTTGCACCTTGGCTTGCTTGTAAGGCTTCCAAGCATCCTGCTACCTACTTGGCAGCCTGGGGATGGAGGTTTCGCGGATTCATTCGTCCGGAAGGCCCAACTCGAAATGCCATGGACCATTGCAAAATCCCCGGCCCCCACTCATTTCAGGCGGGCAGAATCTGCTGAACTCACGTAGCCCAAGAATCCGCAAACCATAGATTTATCTTCGTCCTTGAAACCCGTCATGGAACACCCCTTCTGCATACTCCTTGGCTCCCTGCATCTCCTTCTGGAGGGTGCCGGTTTTTTGGGTTGGGGGGCGGGAAGGGGGCCAGAAGGAAAACCAATGCCAAGGGGCCAAGAACAAATACCCCGTCGTGATCTTCTGCAGCACCTTGCCGGGCAGCGTCTTGTTGCCGTCATAGGATGGCAGGTCTTCCTAGAAAACGACCACCAGGACTCATGCCGTACATAATAACTCCAACCGGGGAAAAAAAAGAGAGAAAAACAAACTCAAAGCAAACCACAGCACTAACAAGTTGAACAAACTCACCGATTCTGTCACAATTCGCCCAGCCTCATTCTGTCCTGTCCGAACCCGGAAAGAGCAATTCAAACTTTGTGGGCCCTTTTGAAGTTGCCTTCCTGCCCAGGGCCCCCGGCTGGGCATGTTCCAGAGACAAGCCCTGTGCAACATAGCCAGCATAGCCCTGTGCACATACGCAAACAAATTTCATAAGCAAACAAAAAGATGAAGCATAAGTTCCTAATGACAGGGGCACATGTGTTGAAAGAAGCTATAACTAAATCAGAGAGTGAACCATGCTTAACATATGGTGTGCGTGGTTGCTTGCCATGGGATCCAGTCCTCCACACGCATGATGCCCGCGGTGATGTCGCGCAGCGCCGTCCGCAGCACGGCCAGCTGTTGGCCCTTGGGGTCTGGGGATGCGGCTGCCAGCCACTGGTGGGACACGAAAATGACGAACATTCCTCGCGGCGCTCACAAAGCATGGAGACGTGGAGTGCAAACTGGTGCTCGCAAAGCATGGGGAAAAGGTGAGTGCAGAAAATGGCAAGCCTTCCTGGGTCCCGATGCCTATCATCGCAGAAATGACACCAGGGCCCCCACCCACACCGCCAAACCACTGGCTAGGGCAAAGCATGCAGCAAGACACCAGGAAGCAAGGAACAACATCCATCTAGCGTCTTCTGAGAACGGCCTCGACGCACCTGGATGACTTCCAGCGCAGGGTTTGTCCCGGGACCCACGAATTCCACGAATTGTGGAAAGAGCAAGCCGCCCCCACCCCTCTCTGAAGCTTATTTGTCAACATATCCTCCCTCCCCTCCCCACCGCAATCAATTTCCCCAGCAAAGCATTGGACCAGGGTCCAACGTCGAATGAGGGCGGGTGACACGAGTGCCCTGCACCCATACTCACGTGAATACCCGTCCAAGACTAGCTCGAAATGGGCCGAGAGGCCGCCCAAATACACCACGCCATGGTTGAAAAGGCAGGCGCTTTTTATTTTGTACACATGTAGCAATCGGCGAAGAGCAACCGAAGCCTGGTTGCCACCTTGCCCCATAAGTGCATATACCCCCTTGTCGTCAGAGGGGTATGAACATCAACAAGCCTTTGGGTGCATTCACCCATTTCGTCTGGAACAAACCACCCCCCCCCCGGATTGGCATCCATGCGACCCGCACATCGGCTTGAGGGATCGACATCCCGCGGTCCCAGTCCCATGGGCTCGATGCTCCTGGCTGCCACTCGTGCAGTAGGCCCTGCTCTCCTGAGCTCGGCCGGGCGGCCACCGAGCCCAGCGGCTCGTCACTGGTTGGCTTCCAGGGTACTTGGCCAAACTAAGACACGAACGCCCCGAAGAAAGACGGGACTGTGTTCAAGCTGGTTGGGCACAGGGGCTGAAATGCTGTTGGAAAAAGGTCAGTGGAAAAGGCTTAATCCGAATCCCCATCCGGTTACCTGTTTGCCAGCAATCATGACGTGGATAAGAGGCCTTTTGAAGAGGATCGTAGTCTTGAAAACCCCTCCTGGCCCTTTCATGCTGGTTGGGAAGATGGCAACTCGGCTTCCAACAGGTTCAAAGCTCAAAAGATCCAAGTCTCGTAATGCCTGGTGCGGCTCTGGCTCTCCCTCCATCTTCAGAAAGTCCGCCACCTCGCCCAAATCGTGCCACGCGCCCACCCAAAGGCCCAAGGGCCCAAAGGAAAGGATTTTTTTGGGCGGGGGAGAAGCAAACGTTCGAATGATCCATCCCCTGGGCCATTCGAACCACTCTACCCACCAACCCCCCCCCCAAAGACTCCCAATACGATGAGCGTTAGTAAGCCTCATTGAGGCAAAACAAGGCCAACAAGCCAAAAGACTAAGGATTTACCGGTTGGGGGCGAGTCTTGGAGAGGGGGGCGTCGGTACGGTCCCTGCAAGTTCTGGAGCCCAAGACCCCAAGCCCCTCTCAGGGCTCCTCTCAGCGCTCCCCATCGTGAGAAACGCCAAGCAGATTCCCAGGGGGTTGCCTTCGCGGAAGGGGGGGGGGTGAGGGGCTGGGGGTGTGGGGGGCTGGGGTTAACGCAAGGCCTTGACCACGTACATGGGGAAGAAGCGCTGGTGTACCAGCTGTACATGGCCAGCGTCGTCAAGCCATCCCATGGCTTCGCAGCAATTTCCCATGGCAAGGGTGTGCTCCAAGCACAGGCCAAATTCCAAAATATGGACCCGAGGCCAAACGAGAGCCGCCAAAAAGCCCACCCCGCATGCTGCCAATGGCCGAGAAACAAGCCATCAATCGGGAGGAAACCACCAAAAAAAGGCCCGTCATGAAGATGCCTTCGCACTGAAGCTTTCTACAGGGGGGGAAGGGCTTCCACTGTTGCTCTTGCCAAAAAGCCAGCCGCAGGAAATCCGAATGGAAGTTGGAATTTCGGCACCTGCTGATAAGATGTAAGATGAGCGAATGTCCTGTTTCCCGCTACTTTTGCTAGAAGATCTTTCGACTTTTGCCGCCCTTCGGACTCGTCCGGTCCCATAACTTTGCACGAGCCCTGCGCACCGATTGTCAAATATGCATATGTACAAACATACGAACATACATACACATATAGGTGCACATCAGAATCAGGCTAGAAATATCTAGCTCCTAGCAGCCCGTGTTTGCTTCTGTCATGCCTAGGCTTGAGCCTTGGGAGTTGCATGCGGGACTGCCCCTTATGTGTTACAATCAGCCTCAGGCAAAGCGACAGGCGATGTGAGAGGAATGAGAGAAGCGAATGGAGTAGAGAGGAAGGACATGATGACCAGAGACTCATCATCCCTTTCCCTTC